CTACGCCATAACATTGGTGAACGAGAATGTGAGGTGACGTAGGCCCTCCCGGGACGGTTGGGGTCCTAGGAAGACATCGAGCTGATGCTCCAACCTTCCGTAGTCGAAGTCGAGGAGCTGGCCGCTCCCGAGGGAGCGGGCCTCTGGCGCACGCAGCCGCAGCTCCTCAAGCGCCTCGGTGATCGCGTCGAGGCCGGCGGAGTGGAGGGGTTGAATGACGACGGGCGCCCGCGCCAGCTCTCCCTCCGCCGTGATGATGAAATCCAGGTCCCCGAAGCGCACGTGTGCGCCCAGACCCAGCTGATGCCGTGACTAGCCATCCGAGGCCTGGTGTTGATGTCGAGACGCGCAAAAGACCCCTACCTGGTGCGCCAACTGTCGGTGTTTCGAGTAAACACCAATGAGTAAATTTTTAATATTGCGCGTCTAGCTCGGATGGTGTGCTAAGAGGACACGAGGTGGCAGTTGCGTCCTTAACCGTTGGATGAGCCGACATGACGCTCATTAATCCTTTAGCTCGGATACCTGGATATAGATATCTGACAATTTGTATCTCTAATTAAATTTATTAAAAAAACTAAATTTAAAGATCTTTTTAAGGATACTAATTATGTAACATAGATATTAATATTTTAATATATATTTAATCAAAGTTGTTTATCGAAAAGCGAAAACGATAGATATTTAGAGAGAGAGGAGTATAGTTTTTATTAGGAGCATCTCCAAGAGTGCTCCGTATCCCTTCTCCATCCATCTATTTTGGAAAAAAGAGAAAAACTCGTCTCCAAGAGTACCCCATATCCCTTCCCCATCTTTTGGAACTTGGCAAATTGGCCGCCACCGCACGTAGAAATACGTGCATCGTAGTCGCGCGCGTCTCGTCCTTCCCGCACCGTCTCCTCCTTCCGCCAGAGCTGGTCCGACATGGCGACCGTCAACGAGACGCCGCCTGGGGGTGTCGACTCCGTCGCGGTGTGCTGGACGCCGCCGAGGAACAAGGACAGGAGGACGTGCCCGGCGAGGCGCACCGGGGCGAGGTGGACCTGCCCGGAGCCGGCCCGGACCGTGAGGTGGTGCGCCAGGTTGGCATCGGCAGAGACGCCCGACAGCAATGTCCTAGCAAAGTCGGCCGACTCCGCGAGCCACGGCTCGGCGCCGGCACGACCACCGCCTGCGGCGACGGCGGCGAGCACCGCCTACCCGCGTATCCAGGCCAAGAACGTCGCGCCGTCCTCGATCGCCGCCGGGAGGCGGTGCTCGGGGGAGAGCCGGTACTGGACGGAGAGGACAAGCGCGGGGAGGTCGGCCGCGAGGCGACGGCAGAGGTTGTCCACCCCTTCGAGCTGGTCGTAGGACCCAAGGCAGTATCTGCCTCCGTGGAAGTGCACCAGCACCGGGAGCTTACTGTTGCTACCTCCATCGCTGGCGTCCGCCGCCGCCAGCCTGTACAGGCGGACCTTGAGGGATCGCGACCCTGTGAAAAGTCCTGTGAGAAAAAAAAACACGAGCAAAAATTGACGTGGGATTCAAATTTGATTTTTTGAAAGTCATTTATTGAAAACTCTAGGAGATGACCTTCTTTCTTCCTCCTAATATCTTTTGGGAGTTGCAAAACTACATGATTTAGGGAGAAAAAAATAAGGTACTGTTGGAGATGCTGTAGGAACTGTACTACCAAACCACGTAAGACTATATTATTGTTTTTTAAATTATATACCCATCTTTTAGCTGCATGACAAGGTTGTTAAGTGAAGCAGTTCTGTGCACATGTATTGCAGCACATTTTATCCGTTGCTGCACGCACCAACTAACGGCCTTTCTAAGCTTACTAGTAGGACCATATTTTATCCAGTTTTGACAAAAGTAGTAGGACCATAAGCAGTGATACCTACATACTCCAGTCAGTTCGAATTTTCGGCCAAATCTAGAGACAGATTGCTCGACTCATACTTCCTACTTTCCTCCGAAAATAATAAAACAAAAACAACAGGGGAAAAAAAGACAGTGCTAGGCGCTGCAGAAAGAAGCAGACAGGGGCAAACAGCTGAGTTGAATCATACAGCTGTTACTGTTAATCAAAAGGTAGCCGCAATCAACGCAGAGCTTTCAATCGATGCTGGTGTCAGTGGTATTTCCAACAAATGGCTGCCAAATCGACCGCTAATAGTTGCCCTCTGTGTGTTGGGATTGGACTGCACGCTATGAGTAAAGTGATTCACAAACACACCAGCAGCCATTAACAGGATTTGAACTTTGCCACTACTCTCTCCAGCTAGCTACTGATACCCAAAACATGCTGAGCAACACAAAATGCTCTGCTAGACACTGTGATATCTAAATCTAGGACATTTACTTACAGATACTCAAAAACATGATTGCTCATACAACGGTTGCGTTTGACCAAATTGCTCATACAAAGTACTGACACCGGTTGTTCAAAAGACATATTATTGCTTTCTATACTACATGGCAACTACTACTAGAGAGAGACGCTCACACAGTCACACTACAGTGACCCTTCAATCGGATGATCTTTACATGCAACACCCAGCCCAGTTCAGGAAGTAGGCTCGGTAATAGCATATTGGCTTGGCGGTCAGACTGGCAATTCAGGACTTGAGGGAATGTTGTCGATTCAGGAATCGGTCGAGGCTCGATGTATGATTCCCGAGATCACGCTTGAGAAAATATACTCCAGATATTGGCAAGGACTGGAACTGAATTCTTTCGCTCTCCCGTTGGGTGCCTGCCTGCCCTTGTCTTCCTCTTCCCGGCCTGAATGTCCCTTTACATTTCTTTGTCCTGCTACATCGGGAGGCGCAATTGATAGCTGCTTTAAGTTATTCCCTGACGATAAAATTTTTGTGTGATGCCTTCGGGTGGTCAAAAGCTTGTGGTACTGCTACTACTAGTAGGGATTAATGTTGCATTTTCAGCTCTCTCAAGGAATCGAATTTTTCCTTGCGGAGCAATCGGTTTGTGATAACTTTCACCCTTTCACCCGTTGGGTGCCTGCCTGCCCTTGTCTTCCTCTTCCCTGCCTGAATGTCCCTTTTACATTTCTCTGTCCTGCTACATCTGGAGGCGCAATTGATAGCTGCTTTAAGTTATTCCCTGACGATAAAATTTTTGTGTGATGCCTTCGGGTGGTCAAAAGCTTGTGGTACTGCTACTACTAGTAGGGATTAATATTGCATTTTCAGCTCTCTAAGGAATCGAATTTTTCCTTGCGGAGCAATCAGTTTGTGATAACTTTCACCTTTGAGCTTATCAGCCGGCTTATCAGTTAGAATCTACAGTATTTTTATTTCACAATAAAACAGTTTCAACCGGCTTTAATACCAACCGAACGGGCCCATCTTGACTGAAAAATCTGAGACGAATTTCTTTTCCTTTGTTTCCTTTTTTTCTATTTGTGTATCCTTCCTTATACCATATAGGGACATATAGGAAAGAATAAAAATGCTAGAATCAGGGGAGTCTTTCTCAAGCAAGCAAGGCGTATTTCCGTACTACCGACTATCTGTATTTCAACCGGTAAGGCATGCTAGTACTGCCGACAAGGTTAAGAAACCAAGATATTGTTTCAAGAAAAAGAAGAAAAAAAACACCATTGAATTCACGGCTAGCCGGCCTCCAGTCTGCTCGGCGCTCCGCTCCGCCTCCGCTCAACTTTGCCGGCTTGCCTCCGTACGACGAGATGGGAGATGGAGATGAGATAGGAGAAGAGTCGACACCCGACAGCCGCAGCACCCAGCAGCCAGCACGCCACGCGAGTTAATGTGACTCTTCGTTTCCTCCTTGCGTGGGCCAGCGGGCCAGGATTACTATGTTTACTGGATTTTAGCAGAGGCTTAATTGACTAATTGACTGTCTTGGCACCTGCCTAGCAAACCTTGTCAATTTCGCTAAAAAACAAATCTTGTCAACCGAGAATGCGCCCTGTTGCTGTTGCTTAACTTATCAGCCATGATACATTACTTTTCTCTCGTAACAAATCAGATTCAGCCGGTTTATCAGCCGCAGAAAGGCTTTCGTGCTAACTGCTTTACTTGTCCCACTTTGCAACTGAAGTTAAGATCTGTGGTCACCAGGAGAAGAGGCCTGCCTCGCTTTAAATGGGTCATTTGATTCTGCACCTTTGGGAGAGAGGCCTTCTCCTTTTAGCTAATCACAGCACCACACATTACCCGTTCACAACTTTAAACATTCAAATAAGTATATCTCACAGATCACGGATCCATATGTGTAATTTGTCTATTCTATCATGTTGCAGACAACATTAGCACTAAAATGAACCTAGTATTAAGTCTGGTTGATGCCAAGACGAAAATATACTGCTACATTACATTACAATGCTGCCGTCTTTTATCAAACGGTCCAAGATTTACTCTACTTACAATCTGGAATCTGGTCCTTTCATTCTGTTCCTCATCGTTACAGCATGTAGCAAGCATATATATATATATATATATATATATATATATATATATATATATATATATATATATATATATACACACACACACACACACACACACACACACACACACACACACACTACTCCTATTAGTGTTTTGGTTGGGTCGCTTTCCACTATTTTCCACAGATCTAATTTTTAGTTTTTCTAGTCTGTCACATTTGAGATGACAGGAGCAACAGAATGAGTCCAATAATGGCTATGTTTAATGAAGTTTATTAGGGTAACAAGACTTCAGTGAACAATTATGGCAGTATACCCGATCTTATATCAAGAAGTAAACAAACAGCAAATTTTAGCAGAATGAAAATACAAAGACCATATTCTTCGCTGACTGGTAGATTTTGACACGACAAATTCGACCAAACATGACGCCCGGACACTGAACAAGCGAAGCAACAGACTCCATATCCAGAACCCCAACACAGCACACATGCCGGATTATTCCCCACTAAATCTAAGCGCAGCTCGTAATCAGATAAGATAATCATACTCCATCAGTCTTCGGCTGCTTCGGAGCCTACACACGGAGCACGTGCAGGATAACCAGAAACAGACCACCCAAAAGCAGCATGAAGAGGTGAAAGGCAACCGCTGGCGAGCCCGGGCCAGCGGCAAGCCCATTGACAGCCACGCAGGAGGCGCCGATTCCAACGAACGGAAGGAGACGACGCAGGTGATCGGCCACCATGCCGCGGTTGTCGTACCCTGCGCCGAGGTCGTGAGCTAGGGCCACGGAGCCGTCGTACCCTGCGCCGAGGTTGGCGACGCGGAGCGCGCCAGCGATTCCGTCGGCTCGCCCGGTGCCCGCGAGAGTCTGCGGCGCGAAGCTGCCTGAGTTGACGAACACCGCGCCGACGCCGTCGGGGAGCGGGCCAATAAACACCTCGTCACTTCCGACGCCCGGGCGGGGCTGCCACTGCCACGGGTAGTAGCCGTAGTCGTGCACCGAGCCACCGCCGCCGGGTAGGAGGCCGACGAACACCTCGCCATGTCCGGTGCCGTCGGGGAGCAGGTCGACAAGCACCTGGCCATGTCCGGCACCCGGAAGGGGCTGCAGCGCGTAGTAGCCGTAGTCGCCATACGCCGCGCCGCCGCCGCCGCCTGGGAGCTGGCCGACAAACGCCTCGCCGTGTCCGACGCCGTCGGGAACGGGGAGCAGGTCGACAAGCACCTCGCCATGTCCGGCATCCGGACGAGGCTGCAGCGCGTAGTCCCCGTTGTACACCGCGCGGCCACCTCCGGGGAGCAGGTCCACAAGCACGACGCCACGTCCGGCGCGCGGGCGAGGCTGCAGAAAAGAGTACCCATAGCTGTGGACGACTTCGTCGGGGAGATGCGGGCCCAGTAGCGCCACATCGACCAGGCCCATTTGCTGCCGCCAGAACTCGCCGATGTTGGGGTACGCCACGCCGGGTTCGGGCTGATGGTGGAGGTGGAACGACACATCGACAGGCACCACGACATGGCGCGCGAGGTCAGCGAAGTCGTGGAACGCCGCCGCGCTTGGTTCGAAGCCGTCGACGATGGCGCGGCGAGCGGCAGCAGCGCCGCGCTGGACGTGGAACGTGCCGGTGCTCATGTGTGAGTGTGCCTCGACCGCGCCAGCCATGACGAGCTCGGTGAACTCCACCACCGTCGTCGGGCTGGCCGCGTCGCCTCCGTGGTCCATGTTCTCCGGTTCCGTCTCCGGCAATGCGCGAACGCCCGAGGCCCCGAGCAAGTGGTTGGCTTCCGGCCGGCTTTGGTTGCTTGGAGTGGTTGTTGAGTGGATGGATTGCTTGGCCTCCCCCGGCTCCACTTATATAGCAAAAGGTCCGTGGAATGTGATGGAATCATGGAACTGAGCCCGACCCGGATTGGATCTTCTAGACGCGCGCGAGGCGAGGCAGGGAGAGCGCCTTGCCGTGATGGTGATCGATGGGCCCACCCCCGTCGGGTCGCGATGAGCCCGATCCGTCCCACTGTAGTCTGCAATCGCAAACCCGGCCGGGACGAGAGTATGAGATGAGCCCGATCCGTCAGAATTAATTGATTCCGGTCATGAGTGCCGCAGGGAAGTGTAACAAGATTTTTCAAAACGAACGCGATGTCAGGTGTGGACGAGAGTATGAGATGAGACCAGCACGCCTGCTCACTTACTTTCTCGATCAAGAGAAAGTATTTCGCTCCATACTAGTAGTCAAATAACATCGCGTTCCCATGGGTTGATCTGTCTCCTTGCATTTTACACTAGTCAACAGCAATCGCCTTCCTGCACATGAACATAGGTTCGATTCCATTTGACGATCTGTATTTCGATCTTTCCTAACCAAAAAAGTTTCTCCTATTTTGTCCTGTCTTTTGAAGTACAACAAGTTTTGGAGTATTTTAATAATTTACTATGAAATTTAGGAGCAACATCCATCACAGAACCAAGTCAAAAGGGCTCTTTTGGGGCATGCAAATATTTTCCTACCTCCATGAGAATTAAATTGTTTCCCATCAGATTCACACGGTTGTGATGTACTATAATTACGACTTACGTACAGCGACTATTTAGGAAAATCGCATCAGTAGGAAAAAAAGAAGTGCAGAAAATAAAGATCGATCACGACAAATATTTTGTGTTATAATACAAAACAAAACTAAAAACTAGAAAAAGAAAGCAAAATATTTTAGAGAAAAAAAAGAAACGAAATTAATTAGCCCAAGGTCTCTCATATGACAACCAATCTAATTCTTGGGCAAGAAAAAAAAATCACGGTAATAACAGGAAGACTAATTCCCAATGATTTAGGTGTTAATGGAGATCAATTTAAAAGGACAATAAACAAGAAAGCACTAATTATATTTACATTTTAACTATCTGATTCAAAGGTTATTGTGGGAGCAAATGAGATGGAGAACAATAATAGAAAGTGTCGGATTCGTAAACCCGGGGTCCCCAATGGATCCGCTTCCCTGAAAAAAACTCGCCTTAGCAAACGGCGTTGCGACAACGCGTGCCTCCTGGGCCAGCCCAGATACATAATGACAGACCAGGGCAACGATCCATTCCCCGACCAAAAAGCCCGGCCAAGGTAGGGACACAGTCCGACTCCGACCTCCTTTTCCGACCGGGGATACGCCGGACCTCTGCTTGTGATTCTTCCCTGACCGACACGGTCGGAGCCAACTGGGAACGACCGATCGGAGACACCCGCTCTGTGAGGGTCCAGGGATAAGGCAGAACAGATAAGGTAAGGCGCTCAAGTCAACCGCAATACCGAGGACCGTACTCTGTCATGCCCTACGCACTTTTAGGACGGTGCCACCAGGCCATGCCAGACGGGCACTATGCAACCTTCTAGGCGTGTCAGAGCACAAACAGTATTGTAGGCGCCGACGTTTGCCGTACCAGGCGAACACGGTAGAGTCTGCCACATGCGTCTGACATAAACAGTATTATGGGTGTCGACAACTGTCTCGTACCCGACAGCGTGGGCAACAAGATTAGGTAGCACATGTATCCATTCTTTCTTTCTCTGACTTGTAAGGCTGTCCCCTTCAACTATAAAAGGGGATACACTCTCTCCTCTCTGGGGGACGTTCTCTCGGCTCTCGAAAGAAAAGAGGCTGAACGTTCTCTCTGGCTCTAGGCAACTTGAGCACTCGAACAGCTCAACGGTTCCAGAACACAACTGCTACAGAGAGCATACGCTCCAATACTTAGCGCACATTAGAGCACCCGTCACTCTCACCGCTTCGGTTCAGAGTTCGACCGGGCCTATAACACCCTCTTTCCTACTCGTTTGTAACCCCACAGCAAACTTTGAGCACCTAGGCTCATGAATAAAGTCACTGACCGACTGAAACTGAACGTATGGCACGTTGCCTGAACCAGTATAAATCCTATGTCATTGTGTGCTAGGCCACATCCGATCACAACACACGGCAAAACTATAAATATTTACTCGTTGGTCACTTTTCGCACCGACAGTTGGCGCTGTCCGTGGGGAGGACGTCGTGCGTTCACACTTTTGGTCATCGGATGGCCCACCTTTCCACCATCTTCGTCATGGCGGGCTCGAGCGATACGATTCGCTTCGACTCGCTGGAGTTTCCTGCGCTCCCACCTGCTGGGATGTGGGTTCCTCCTGTCTTCCATCCGCTCCAGACTTTTCTCTTTGAGAGTCTAGACTTCGTTGCCGACCGGTTTGGCGTACTGTGCCTCTGCGAGGAGGCGCTCGTCCCGGCGTCCATTGGAGGAGGAGCGCTCTCCACCGGCCCTAGGCTGCTCGACGACTCCAGCGTCGAGACACTCGCGCTTCCCCTCGAGCCCATGATGGGCTCAAACCCCACGGCCGACAAGCCAAAGGAAGGGAAAGGCAAGGAAGAGGCGGCCAAGAAAGGAGGCACAGCGGGCAAGGTTGACGACGGCTTCCCCGACCCCGAGGAATACCTCGTGATCTTTGGGGGATCCGACGCCATCCACTCCAAGCGCCTGCACAGGTACGCTACAGAGAGGCATGCGCCGCCTAGTCAGCCATCCCTTTTTTCCTTACCTGGTCGGAATCCCCGATCACTTTTGATCGGAGAGACCATCCTTCCCACGTCATCCGACCGGGTCGCTACCCGCTCATCATCGACCCCGTCGTCCGCAAGAAGCGCCTCACCAAGGTGCTGATGGATGAAGGCAGCGGCCTCAACATTCTCTACGTCGAACCCTCGACGCCATGCGCATCCCCTGGTCGAAGCTCCGCCCAGTGAGCTCTCCCATCCATGGCGTAATCCTAGGGACGTAGGTGTACCCGCTCGGGCAGATCGACCTGCCCATCACGTTTGGCGACCGAGCCAACTTCCGCTCGGAGGTCCTGACCTTCGAGGTGGTGGACTTCCTAGGGTCCTACCACACCATCTTAGGGTGGCCATGCTACGCCATGTTCATAGCGATCCCCAACTACACCTACCTCAAGTTGAAGATGCCAGGACCGAACGACGTCATCACCGTGGGTAGCACCTTTTCGCATGCCTACACGTGCGACCGTGAGCATTATGAGCTCACCACTACCGTCATCAACTCCACCGAGCTCCCAGAGCTTGGGAATTCATCGACTCCAGCAGTCCCAGACTGCAACGAGCCGACCTCCTCGAGTGCCTTCCACCCGACCGAGGAAACCAAGGCGGTGGGGATCGACCCCACCGACTCAACCAAGACGGTGTGGATCGGGACCAAGCTCCTGGCCAAATAGGAGAGCGAGCTCGCCAACTTCCTACGCACCAATCGTGATGTCTTCACGTGGAAACCTTCTGACATGCCGGGCATACCAAGGGAGGTCGCCGAGCATGCACTACGCCTCATCCCGGGCTCAAAGCCCACCAAGCAACGCCTGCGTTGCTTTGATGACAAGAGGCGTAGGCCCATAGGTGAGGAGATCGCCAAACTCCTAGTAGCTAGATTCATCAAAGAGGTATACCACTCCGACTGGCTAGCCAATCCTGTTCTTATTAAAAAGAAGACTAGGAAATGGAGAATGTGTATTGATTATACTGGCCTCAACAAGGCGTGTCCAAAGGACCATTTTCTTTTGCCACGCATAGACCAGATAATCGACTCCACCTCAGGATACGAAATCCTCTCCTTTCTAAATGCCTACTCTGGCTACCACCAGATCACGATGAAAAAGTCCAATCAGATCGTGACTTCATTCATCACCCCGTATAGTTCGTATTGCTACGTAACCATACATTTTGGTCTGAAGAACGTTGGCGCCACCTATCAACGGTGCATGCAGCGGTGCTTCACCGACCAAATTGACCCGCCCGACCAGCCTGGACAAAACCAACAATCGTCGTCTATGTAGATGACATAGTGGTGATGACATAGGTGTGGTTGGTGCATGGACTCTCCATGAGCTTGTCGAAGTGGTCGGGCTAGCCTTGTTGGGGTTGCTTGCCCGTATGATCGGTCATGGCGACCAAGGCTGGGTTGGCCGATCGGCGTCGATCCTTCTTGTTCTTCTTGCCCCTTTGTGTGGAGGGGCCTTTGCCTTGGTCCTCGTGCTTGGCCTTGCCCCTATCCCGACCGCTGCTGAAGACCACCCCGACCGCCTCCTCACCGGAGGCGTGGTTCATGGTGATGTCGAGCAGGTCGCGAGTGGCTCGGGACTTCACACAGCCGAGCTTGTGGATCAAGGACTCACAGGTTGTCCTAGATAGGAACGCGCTGATGACGTCCGCGTCGATGACATCAGGAAGGGAGTTGCACCACTTTGAGAACCTACGGATATAATCCCATGGGGACTCGTTGGGCTCCTGCTGGCAGCTCTTGAGATCCTAGGAATTCCTAGAACGGACATATGTCCCCTGAAAATTACCGATGAAGACCCTCTTGAGATCCGCCTAGTCGCGGATGCTGTCGGGCAGAAGAAATTCGAGCCATGCTTGAACATGCTCCTCACACAGATGAGGAGATACTGGATGATGAAGTGGTCATCATCCACTCCTCCGGCTCGGCAGGCGAGCCAGAAGTCTTCGAGCCATATACCAGGGTTCGTTTCCCTGGTGTATCTGACGATGTTGGTGGGTGGTCGGAAGTGTTGTGGGAACAACGCTCTCTAGATGCGACGACCGAAGGCCCGTGGCCCTAGGGCATCCAGGCTGGGGCTCCGGTCGTTTGATCGGCCACCATACCTGGGGTGCGTGTCCCCA